AATATATATATATTATAAAAAAGTATAAAATAAAAATAAGTTATTTATTAAAATTTTTTAATCTTATAATTGTAATATATATTTAATACAAGAAAATTTAAATCTGAAGTGAAATTTTTTATTTAAATTAATAAATATAAATATATAAATAAATTAATTTTTATTTTTATTATTTTATTTTTATTTTTTTATTATTTTGTTTGTATTTTTTTTATTTACTGATCTTATTATACATGTAATATAACAAATAAAAATACTTATATAATATAAATTTTTCATATTTTCTAAAAATATAATGTTCTATGCTTCACTTCAGACAATTAATTTTATTATTATGATTTTATTATATTTATTTAAGATTAAAATAGAGTTAAAATATAGAAAAATTGTTAAAAAATTAGATTCTGAAAATTTTTGACTAAAAATTAAAGGCTTATTATATTTTAATCTAATAATATCAAAAATTAAAAATCAAAAATTTGTTAAAATTTCTAGAATTTGAATTTTTTTTAGCAATCTTTATATTATTTTCTTGATTAATTAAAATATAGGTTACTTATTTTAATTTTATTTATTATTTTATTTTAAAATAGATACTGTAATTAAAAAAAAATGATGCAATTGAGTTGCAACTTGTGACGCAATTAAATTTTCTTATGGTGTAATTAAGTTGCAACTCAATTGAAATTTGAAAATAATTATAGGGACTATCGTTATTTTTATTATTCTATAGTTCCTTTAAAGTTAGTTTATTAAATTATTAGAAAAGAGTTTGTTATTCTTATAAAGAAGAGATATATCTAAATGGCAAAGTTATCAAAAATTAGAAATCATTTATCAATGACATTTTTAAATTTATTTATTAAATAATAATTATAATGTAAATTTAATATTTAAATTATATAATTTAATTATTAATTTATTATTATATTTTATTTATATATAAATAAACTTATCATTTATTTAATATTAGAAATAGATGATATTAAAGATTTTATAAATCTACTAAAAGTAATGATTATAAACAAGTCTGGTTGTATTTGTCTATCTTTTTTATTACAATTAAACTTTATATTTTAAAATTAGTTAATAAAGATAAAAGTTTACAATAATATAGAACTGGATTATAATTTAATTTAATTTAAAACTTAATTTAATAATATAAATATAATGTGAAATAATTAAACCTTTTGATTATATTATTAAAATTCTACAAGATTATTGAATACAATATAGTTGATTTAATTAAAGATTTTTATATGCAATCAATTTATTGATGAAATCACTTTTACTTTATATGCCAAATATGATTTTTTATGTTTAGATTTAACATTAACTCATTTTTTATTTTTTCCAGCCGTTTCCCCTTTTCTATTGCAAAGGTTCTCATATATAATTTATTGTTCTGTATCATGAAAACTCTATCCGAATAACTGGAAAGAACAAATCTTCCGACTGCAGTTGCAACGCTACCATAAGAATCCAAAAAGGGATTTCGGGGCTAATTGATGGTAATATTTAACGCAGGTGTGACATACTTCATGATTATAATCATAAGATCCTGATAAGTTATATTGCCCGTGGCGAACATTAAAACGAAATTAATATAATCAACGATGCATAAGATCTTTATTGATCAATATAATTAAAAAAAAAAAAAAAAAAAAAAAAGTATAAAAATCCAATGAATTGACCCAACTAATGTAAACGTTCACGATGCATATCGCCGATTTATTAACACTAGGTTTGAAAATCATACTCGTTTTATTAATCACGATACTTTCTGTGTGTCCTGGTATGGGAGATGATCCTACGAGAGGAGCATCAGACGTTATACCAGGAAAAGTTGGGGAAATTCCAAAAGGAATGCCAACAAGTGGAGGTGGCTTTGATCCATCTAGTTTCTTAGGTGGGGGTGATCCAAAATCTGGTGGAAAAATTCCAGGATTTGACTTGGGAAAGACCTTAAATCCTCAAGGACAACCACTAAAACTGCCAAAATCTCAAAAGGTTTCACAAAATAAAGCACCACCGCCAAAACTAGATCAAGTTGTAAAGGCTCCACCACAAGATGCTCCGGGAGGAGGTAATGAAGCTCCATCGTCAGGAAGTCAAAATGCGTTACTAAGTGAATGAAGTTCCTATAATTTTAATAGATTTTATCGTAGTTTGGAATTCGCACTGAATCTCCCTATCAAATATTTCCATATTCTTATTATAGAAGAGCCACCACCAATTTCTGACGTTCGAAAGCTTCCATGGCAAGAAAAAGAGAAAGCGTGTATTTTGGTCAGGTGTGAATAAAAAAAAAAAAGAATTGAAAAATTTTTATCAATTCATTTCTAACAGAAATTTATATTAGCGGTCCTCCTAATAATACCTTAATTGCGCCGAAAAGTAAACAACGTATTTCATGGAATCAATCCCCTTGTCAAATGAGTGCAAGAGTTGTGGGAATGTTTCAAGTGATGTTGTACAACAGTTTAAAAGCTGTTTCCGATGCAAAGAAAAGTGACTTGACAAAAAGGGATTATTCACCAAACGGCAAGGTAAATACCATTTAGTATACAGATTTGAAAGTTTTTATTCACCACTTGACCGAATTGCACGTATTTTAGCTATCATATGACTGGGGACCGTATCCTATTGCAACCAATCTCACAAATACAACGAACAATTATGATTGGTAATTTTTGCTTTCTATTATTATCATGTATTATGATCATCACTATTATATAATGATTCTAATTTTTACAAAATTTAACAAACTTATTAATTTGTAAAGGATTGTACCCAACCTTTATGATGACCGAATTACAAACGCGTCAGATTTCTACGTGCGCGTAGAAACAATTTCGCAATCTGGTATTTTCGGCTCCACGCCCCCTTTAGGCGGAACGTACGGGCCAATTGCAATTGTACTACAAGGACATTCGGACGATGATGCGGATAATACATCTCGTGGACAACAGGTTAATCCGATGGTGTCATTACCTTCGGCTGTTAGATTTGTACAGATTCAATCATTGGTTGGACCAATTTTAATTGCGCTAGTACATCATTTTTGTCCGATTTAGCAAAAAGGATTTTTTTTTTACGTAAAATCAAGAGTGGAACGTGGCTGAAATTAATCATCAACTAATCGAATATTCCTGCAGCCTTGTTTGTGGCGTTACGTGAGATCATTCTGTAAAACCGTGGCTTGTTCAACCTCGAACAAGGGTCACCGGATAGTAATGCAAGATGACATCATTCATTACCCGTTATTAGTTAGTAACTCCTTTTTCTCCTTTCGGTTCAAAATTTTAGAAAGCGAGATCTCTTTTAGCATGCCCACGTTAAAGTATTAGACCACTTTAATGTTCATTGTTTTTTCGATAGTTTGTTGATCCCTTTCAATAAAATTTTTTGCGGTTTTTTTAAAAAACAAGATCTACAAACAGGGACACAAATTTACTTCCATAGAGAACAGTTACATGTCGATCATTATAAGAAAAAACCCTTGTCAAAGTAACGACATGGCGTAAGCACATAAAAATTTTTTGTTTCCAAAGAAAAATCCCAATTTTATATAGTAATATGTGGAATATTCAACTAATTTGTTTGTCATTATTCCTTGGGGAAAATCTATTGTTACATCCTTGAACTAAACCATTTAAGAAATTTCTAATTATTTAAAGGATATCGGAACACTCCCAATCAACCGAAAAAGGAAATTGTGAAGTTTAATTTGGAAGGGATGAACAAGTATCGAAATGTTGTTTGAGTATTGAGTATTACAAAATTGGTGCAGCATAGAAAATTGATGATTTCATTTTGCCTTGACACGTTCAAAAAATGATCGGATAAATTATTTTTGTTATGAGAATGTGGCTTATATGTAGAAAAAAAAAAGTATATCTACCTCAAGCCCTCCCATCAATTCGCCTCACATCGAAAAAAAAGCGTTACGTTAAGTTTCTCACTACCAAAAAAAAAAAAAAAAAAAAAAAAAAAAAAGAAAAGAACAAAGCAAAGAAAAAATAAACCAAAATCAAAAAAAAAAGATACAGTAAAATTTTTTCGGGAATTTTTTTTTTTTATTTTTTTTCTTATTTATTAAAAAATGAGTACATCATCATCACCTGATTCGCGAAGTAAATCTCAAAAAAAGAGAGGCAAAATCAACATTGTAGCATGTGATAGATGTAAGCGTGATAAAAAAAGATGTGATGGGAATTATCTCACTCAAAAAACCTGCGAATATTGTCAAAATCATAACGAAATTTGCGTCTACTCGGAGCCAAATTTCTTGAGGATCAGTCGCATTTTGAATGCTGCGGCGAAAAATGCCGCTGCGGAGGAACGTGAATCGGATGATCGCGAGAAACTTCAAAAACAATTAATAGAATACGAAAGTATCATAAACAAGTTATCAAGTCAACTCGAAATTAAAAGTAAAACCGATCAATCAAATACATTAAATTCCATCGAAAAACTTTATATTTCTTTATTCGCAAATTCCCAAATTTCAATCGAGCAGACAATGATCTTAAAGAAATTATGCGAGATTACCCATGCCCCCATAAATTTAAATGTATACGGTAATGAAATTCGAAATAAATTGTCAATACTTGAAACAGATACCGTAACTGATGAGGAGAAAAGACAATGTTGGGAAGAACTTGATAAATTTATTAAGATGCACAATGATAGCGTGTTTAATAATATTATACAATGCGGATTTTCACACCCTTCCGTTTCTACTACGCCCATCCCATCCCCCCAATTTTTAGAAGAGTTTAATACTTCAAATGATTTAAATGATTTGCTTTGTACTGAATTTCAACCTCACGGCGATTCTGTTGAATCAACGTATGACACCACGATCCACCGCGTTACCACGCCCAAAAAGCGTAATGCTCTCAAGGCTAAGGATAGGTACGAGCCATATCCACCAGGAGGTTACATCGCTATTAGACCATCAAAAAAAGAGACCAATATCATGGTTTGGCATCAAAATGATCCAAGTGAAGATGTTCCTATAATTGCCGTTCCTGCACCTCACAATAAAAAATTAACCGTCAATTCAAACGAAGCCCTACAAAATCCAAACGTTCGGATTGATAACTTCAACGAGGTTTTACAATTTCCAACATCGAACATTATATTTTCCTCTAACTTACCCTATGGGTTTGATAAAGTAGGACAATTTTCAAATGTAACTTCGCCCACATTTTCTTCGAGTGAAAGTTATAATTCAGATGATAACTTTGAATATCCTACCTTCTTGTCGGATTCTGTAATTTTAGATTCGGACGAAAATTGGTTAGAGGTTTTTCCAAATTCATCGGGTTCTTACAATAAAATTTTTTATTAAATTTATCAAATATGTTTTAAGATAAGCTGTAAATAACAAAAAAATTTTAATATAGTATATTTAGAATATTTAGAATATTTAGAATATTTATAGATTGAAAAAAAAAACCCCCAACCCCCATATAATATATACATATTTATGATATGAATTCTTTATTATTTAAGTATATATATTTTTAAACTCATATTATGTAGAATATAGATTTTGAAATAATAATTAAGTATTTAAAAAAAAATTAAGCATGATTAAAAATTAAGCATATCTAAACTTTTCTTCCAAATCAAATTTTTTTAAAAATAAAAAAAAAAAATTATCCAAGATAAAAAAAAACTCGGGACGTTTTTAATTTGTAAGATTCCTTATTTAGACGGTTCTAGATCTTTAGATTGTCAAGATTGTCGGTTTGCAGATTGTCAGATTGTGTTACAATCAAAATTTTATCGTGAATTCCTACTATATACGCGTAACTTTATTTATTAAAAAATATAGTCTTTATCATAATCATATCACATTTATAACATAATAAATAAAATATAAGGTTTGTAGTTTTTAGCTAAACTTACGAAAAATTAAAACATAATTGATGAAAACAAAGCAAATTAACTTAAAAAACATAATAATAATAAAGAAAATTATAACATAACCCCAAAAGAATATGATCAGAATTCTTAACCCTGTTACAAAATAGAAAATTTTTCCGATAAATATTATAAATATCATATATCATATATTATATATTATATATATTGTTTGAGACGGCGTGGTGAAAGACGCGTTGAGGTGATACCTTAATGGAATATTTCGATCGATATAATGTTATAATAGTGAGTTATATATCTTTGACCAATATATTGTCCGAATTTTAATGAATTTTTAACGGTTATAAACATTGAAGAAAATTATTCGGAGTCGGATTTCGTTGGAATTATTTATTATACAACGGATATTCATATACATAACGATGTAAATGAAATGATTCTGGACATCAAAAAAAAAAAAAATTTAATGTTATTGAAGAATTCACTAAAATGATATAATTTCAGCTTGTGCATTAATATACATACATGAAGAACATTTAGAAGAGGAAGATGAAGATGAAGAAGGTTGCTTGGGCTGGTTGGACTGGAACAAATCAAGCACCGCATTTTTTTCTGCTTCAGTAAGTAATTTATTATTTAAAATCATCTGACGAGCAGATTCCAAGGCGTCCTTTTGGCCTTCTGAGCCCATTATTATACACGCTTCTTTTACGACATTAGCTACTACACGTGCTCGGTTTGAACCTTCCGTTGGATATGTTGTGGCCATCTCGATTTCTTTTATTGGCATTATCTTTGTTGTTTGCTATTTTTTTATTTTTTATTTTTTTTAGTAAAAACGTTATCGAGATTGTTCAAAGAAAAAAAAAAAAATAAAAAAATAAATAATAAAATGAGCTATTCGGTAAGGAATTAATTAATAATTACCAGTTTTTTGCTATTAAACTTAAGTTAAAATTGTGTGAAAGTTGCAGATTTCAATTCTTTTTTTTTTTTTGTTTTAAAAAAAAAAAGTTGCAAACAAAAAATGTCAAATTCTGTAAAGATTGTGTTAAAAGAGTGAAAAGCCAAAAAAAATAATCAAAAATTATATTGAGGTAAAAAAAATGATACCAGAAAAATCCAAATTCGACCCTGTGTTATTGATGAAAAACGCGAACCATTTATGTCAACCTTTTAAGTCAATCAAATTCATTTAGAGCGAAAGTATTTAGAATTTGAACATTAAAATCAGCCGATAGTTCTAGACTTGATCTAGACTCTCAAGTGCAGAAAAAAAATGTCGAAACTTTCCTTTTATGGAAGTTTGTTTGTTTGTGACATATGCATAGCATCTATTTAGCATTCATTCATTCAATGTGGAATTCGGTCTGCTTAAAAAAAAAAGACCCCTATAAACATATATCAGGGAGCCACAGTGATCACAACACATTTGTCAAATAATTCAAGCCCAAAGTATGATAATTTTGACCAAAACATGAATTTTGCGTGCATGGTGGCTTTCTGCTTCATTCAAGTGTAAGTGCATCCAATTATCATCCAATAATAAAGTTAAAGATGATTCATGAATAACAAACAAAACAATGATTCTATTGTCTTGAAATAACAAACACAAAGTTAATACGGAAAAATTAAATCATATATGATTGTTGAACGCGGTCAATTGATCGGCATGTTCTAGACCTCGCTCGACCCATGATATTATGATTAAAAGGTACATAAATGGGAATTTTATGTTTATCAAGTCCTTGAAGAAATTTTATGTACACGGTTACTCCAATTAGATCTTTATATCAATAAAACCAACAATCTCATTCTTTCGCGTCTCCAGCTAAGATGATCTGTTTTCGGTTATTGTTAGATGGGTGCATACATTCGTTATCATGAACTATGAAATAAGTTCCACAATTTCTTCAATGAAGTTGATGAACACATCAGAAATTTCAATCTTAAATTTTAAACGTGTATTTAAGAGAGGTCATCAAATCATTATTTTCTTTTAATTTTAATATACGTGAAGTGATAGATTATTGTCGCAAAGTTGCTGAAACCAAAGTAATCTATAAAGGAACTAAATCCTCCGACTGTCAATTTTGAATAATCATATATTTTTTTTTTTTTACTAATTATCGTTTAATATTTTAAGTTTTCTTCACATGTTCGTTTAGTGTATAAATTATCTTAATATTGAGGATTTCAATTATTTATTTATATGATACTAATCCGATTTAAACTTTTATTTCTTGTACATTTCAATATAATACAATGCCTTTTACCTTTCCCCTCGGAATTGCATTGTTAAAATATGGCAATCTATATCATATCAAAGCGACTTTTTTTTTCCTTTGTTCTCTGCTATCGTTCATATTAAAGGATTTAAATACACCAAAAAAAGTAATTAATTTTATAAAAAAGTTGAATTTTCGGTTTTTTGTTTCTCTTTATGTTGTTCATTTCGTTATTAATAATTTCTTGACGTTTAGCAATTCAAAACATTTTGAAAAAAAAATGTGATTTGACATTTTAGCTAGGATTTACCATTTATTTTGCCACTCGGATTAATCTTTTTAGGAAAATAGGCGGTGACGAGTGGGCTCTAATGACATTAAGGTTGTTCTCGAAATTCATATCCTCCAACATAGTGTTGTACAATTACCATTCCCCAAGCATTTTGACATTGTCTCACATTATGTTCTGTTGTCCCCATATCCCGTACCATATTCCAATCAAATTTGTAATTCAATTATTTTACTAAATTAATATCGGAAAATACTTTGGCCCTTATATTATATATATATATATTCTGTGACTGGTATGATAAAATATGTACCGAATGTATCTAATTAAGTTTGTGTTTAAACCAAAGCTTTATAATTGAGCCATCATATGTGCTGTATAATTTGAGGTTTTTTTTCCAAATAATTCGTACGACACGTAACAGCAAAAATTTAAAGTTTCCTTTTTTTTTTTCCAGAATTATAAAATTAAACATAATTTTAATAAATACGCCTCATATATTATATATTAGTTATCATATGTGTTCAAAAATAATTTTAATGGATTAACGTCATAGGGATAAAAAGTAATAATTTAATTTAATTGTTTTTGGTTTGCATATTATTATTTAAAAATTTAAATAATTTATAAATTACAAAATGAAATGAAATTTAAAGAATTTTTTTTTTTATATAATAACATATTTACTTAAGATTTAAAAAATTTAAAAACTTTAATGCTTAATTTTAACTGAAAATTTATATAAAAAAAAAAAACAAAATAAAATTTAAGTTACAATTATAATATACAGACCCCCGCCAAAAGTCTCCGAACACTTTTTGGCTCAATGTAAAACTTAAAATTTTAAAGTTTATTAAAAAGATTTATTAATTTATTTATTAATGTACGATATGCTACACATTTGGTACTAAATAATTAGTACTTGGTCAGGCCTTTAT